TACAAAAGAAACATCCTTATTTTATTGATCTTCACAGTGAAAGAATTTACATAGTCGAATAAAACCCCGCAATTCTACATGCAGTCAAAGCTCAATTTTTTGCGTTAACAACCATGTATTTTGGGACCTGGGTCGGGGACGGCTGTCATGGGTTACCAAGACAGGAAATCCATTTGGAAAATTTCCCGCCTTTCTTCGAACATCGAGGACCTTCCACAAAGCGCCTAAAGAGAGCCATGTCATCGAGAGACTCAGACTCAGACTCAGACATTGGCCATATGACTCCGAGGCATCCGAAGCTTCTAGACTTTTAATCGATCAGAATATGACGCGAAGATGGAAGAAATCGTCTGTTGTCGGAAGCGAAGTTTAAATGAGATGGAGTCAGGAGATTCTAACACTACTTAGAAAGAACTCTATCCCACTCTTACAAGCTAATCTCGAGAAGGGCACATGCCCGAAAAGCCTTTCCTTTTTTTAAAGGCCCACACTTACGCTTAAAATTCGATCTTAATATGTTAGCTATTTGCCGTTAATGAACTTCCAGTACCCCAAAATCACACACAGTACGCTTGGGCCGCCTCTGGATATCTAAGCACGGTTAGAAAGAAGGTAGCGCGTGACCTCGTTGGAGTGCTGAGGAAATTTCGCCACAGACGTGCACGTTAAAGCCAGAACGATAAATGTAATAAAACTTTCAAAGTACGTAGAATCAGTGGCCATAGAATCCATTTAAAAGCGCGTGATGTAAACAAATATTAGCCATGGAATCGAAAGCTAAACTGAACGAGGTCGACAGGATTCTTGTAAATTTGAGAGCAAAAAAGGATCATGAGAAAAGGTGAATCTTGTGCGTGTGTATTCTCTGCCTCCTCAGAAACGAACAACTGTGAAACATAACTCAAATGAAATTAAAACGGCCGGTGATCGCAAAGGAAAACGGAGTCAAAGGTAGAAGCATAAAAGATTGAGTCACGCAAGCACCACATCAGGAACCCATCAAATGAACATCCGGACAGATGAACAAATTCTCGGCCGATAAATCTGCCTCAGAAATTACGTTCTCGGACACAAATGAAAAAGTGTGAAAAGGAGAGAGACTAACAGGGAATCAACTCTTGACGTACAAACGCATCACAAAGAGACAGAGACCCTCCAATAAACGAATTTTTTTCGCGGCATCCTTTAGGCAAAGAAAGGATTCGCCAAAAGAGAAGCGCCACGCTTCATAAGAACAACTTTTCTCACGCTCCACGTCTGATAAAAACACACGGCTCGAAGAATAGAGGATACCCAGATGATATTTTGGACACATATATCTCTAAAGTTAATTTTACTGGTAGACTGAAGGTCGCTCAAAAACAAAGATTGAAGAAGATATTGCCTTTTGTAATACAATATCGTTTCGTTTTACCAAACCTCAAAAATACAGTAATAGAGAAATGGCACCCATTTTAGGATCTTTGAAAACTCGTGAAAGTTAACTAAAATAGGATCGACATTAATATATATATATTTTTTGTTGTTGTTGTTGTCGTCAATAAGCCAAGGAAATTTATTGTAGCGAAAAAACTTTTGGAGTTAATGGCACTTTAACCGTAAAAATTTTTATTTTAATTACAACGGAAAGAATTTAACTGGCGGCCGTAAAATGTGGCAAAATTTTAATTGTTAGACGTAGAATTATCACCCCGTTGAGACCCTCACAAATTACTTTGAAGTTTGGCTTTTATTGCTAGGATTGAATGTAATTCATTTGCCATTCACTTGAAACTCTACACGGTGTTTTCTCTGGAATTTTGTAAATATCAATTTCCAGTCCAAAGTCATCGCAGGATACTTATCAGTTTCTTTTCTATATTCCTTTCAACGCGGTGGAAATGTTTTAAACTTAAAACCCTTAGAAAAGAGCTACGCTATTCGTATTTGTTTTTCAGACTTACTTGATGTTCCTCTGAGGGATTTCTTAAGCCTCCCATAACTTCTTTGTGCTCTGTTTCTTGCGCTGCATCATTCAGCTCACCATAAGCCTGCACACTGGCTCCTAGAAAGAAACTTACTCACTGAGCCGAGAGAAATTTATTTAAAGACAGAAACGGATATACGGAGAAAACTTTAAGTGTTATTGATCAATGGTGTGACTCTTTAATAGAGACTCGAAGTAATATTCCCTTTTTTTATATCTTCCAAGCAAATGATTTCAAAGTCCAACTCCAAGTTATGATCCATGTCTAGATTCTTTTTTTTTTCTGAATTCGATGGAACTTGGACTTCCTCACCGTCTAAATGAGCGTGGGAACAATTTTAGACCCAAAATGAGGCAAAAATCATGTTTTATTCCCGATCTTGGCTTCTGTAATGAGTGATATGTTCGGGTGGTTTTCACCTAAACCCCACTATTCTTTACCTAAGAGGTCTACAACTTTTAAAGAAGTAAGCCGTTAAAGACCATGCGCTCTTCTATGATGACCATCACCGAAAAACAAGGAATAGTATTGCGGGACTAGTTTTTGATCAAAGCTCCCCGCTCCGTTCCAAGTCTTAAAACATTGTTATCTTTTAATTTTTTAGATTGGAGCCACCGAAAAAAGAAAGTTATAAAATCATTACCGCGCATTTATGGTAAAATACTTTGAAAATTCTAGTATCTTTTTCCAAGTTTGACCGAGTTGAAAAACACCATCTTTAACTTTTATCACCAGGTTTGAAATTTACTATCTTTATTTCGATCGTTACACCGTTAGTAATGAATGAAAACTCCAATCCGTGCCATATACAAAATATTTCGGCGGAATCACATGAGCTAGCTAGTTTGACAAAAGAGTTTTTAGGAGAGTCCGAATTATTATGGCTCTTTCTCTGTTTCATCACTCACTAAGAATGCATCTTCTCTCGGTGACCTCATTTGTGATAATGGTAGAATACAATCATTTCATAGTTTTTCCCACCTGATGAACTGGCGTCATGATCATCCAGCTTCAGCTCAAATAGCTTCGAAGTACCTTTAACAACCTCTGTGGCTGGCATGGAGTACAAGGTAAAGCACATTAGCACATTTGAGGACAACATTTGAATAGTTAGGTAACACTTTCTAATTTATAAATGCTTATGCAGGGCCACTGAAAAAGAAGAAGCAAGTACGGTTTCTGGAGTATAGTTTTTCAGTTAGACGGCCTACGAAATACTGTCTTGATGTTCACGATCATACGAAAGCACCAAATTAATATTTCAATTTTGGCAATTTACGACTGCTTTTTCCGTAAGTTTGATAGGATGGCCACTATACCACATGTCGCGTAAAGCTCAGTGTCAGAGGCCCACTTGAAAACCATAATCTCTCAGTTGTGTTAGCAAAAGAATACTCTAATTTGGTGGTTTATCCTCACCTGGTGAAGTGTTCTTCTGAACGTCGAGTTTGTCCTCCGCTGATATCGATGTGACTTGAGAATCTGCTGTGGCTGAAACACGAGGAAGCAATTTGGTAAATACGTCTTCTAGGATTGTATCCCCACCCTTTCATGTTCATGAAGCCTGCAAAACTAAAATATTCTGATTTTAGTCTGGAAACTGTTCTACTGATTTGATAGCTCTGCCAAATCATGATAACCGAATACGCCGCTCTCATTTGCTAAGAAGCATCGCCAATCATTTTGTTTACTAGGCTTAAGATACCATTTTCCATTCCAAGAGCACACAAATAAATCAATCTTAGTATTATGCAGGGTGCCTGTTACATCCAACCCAATCAATGGCCCACCTGCTTCTATTCTCCCACAACGATAGCTTGGTAGCACGTTACGTTAATATATGGTTGTCTAGGGATTAAGATTTTTGGAATAAGGATTTCAGATGGTAACTCGGAAAGTGGCTGTGGGCATTCTTAGACGGGTCGTAGACTACGAGGAGCCAGTATCCACCTGACAAAGAGCAAGCTCCGCTTACTGCTTTACTTCAATCAAACCTTCTTTTTACCTGTGGTTTTTTTCTCACCTGAAAAAGTATTGGCACCAAGACTTCCTATTTGTCCGTCAGGTGAGGGTTCTTTATCATCAGCCATATCTGAAAACGATACAGAATGAGTAAAGAGTAAGTTAAAAGAGCGTTTCATGTCACCAAATGTCGACTCCTTCATTCCCATCACAAAAAAAAGTTTGTAACACAAAAAGATTCTGCAAACATATACAATTTTAACAACGTGCAGGACATTTGCCATATAGATCTGCTCTATTGGCCTTCATACCACGAGTGTCTTACAGCTCAGTGATGGAAGTTCTTCTCATTGGGAAACATTCCGAATGTCTCTTTTCCAACTATTTGTGTGTCACTCCTTAGAAAAACATCATGTTTCAGTTGTCTTAACGAGTAGAACACACTAATCTTTTACAGTTTTTCTCACCTGATGAAGTGATTTCATGAATGCTAAGTTTCTTCTCGCCTGAAATGGACGCAACTTGAGGATCTTCAATGGCTGAAATATCAAGACAAAAATTCATTTAGATGGCATTGATGAACCTTAAGGTTTTGCTACTACCTGCTGAATTCATGAGACCTAGTATAGTGAAACGTTATAGTCTTTTTTTAGAAGAAATCTAGCGGAAGTTAAATTCCTACACAGTCAGCAGGTACGGGCCTTTGATTTTGGGCTGTACCATCAGGTTGAAGTTTCATTCCAGAGGAAGAAGAGGTTAATTCTTGTTTCCTGATTGCCTCTCGTTTGACGCTATAAATCCTCAAACTTTCCGAGGGCTAATTCTCCTCAAATGTCACACAAAATATTTCATTCTTGGCTACCTCTATAATTGATTTGGTCTAAAGCCAAATTTCTTCAGCAGCACATGAATATTTCTGTAAAATATTTTTCTTTTTTCGTTCTGTTTTTTCTCACCTGTTGACAGTTTTTCATCAGTACCGTCATTCCCTTCTTGTGATGTCACATCATGTTTAACCGGATCTGAGAATGAAGCTGAATGTGTCAGATACTCAAAAACTACCTATTGCGCGTCACTTAAATCTAGTACCATAAATCTCTTAAAGCCCAGAGAGGGAGCTTTTACTCGCGTAGAAGCACTCAGAATTTCTTTTGTAAATGCGAGTAACTGTGTGTCATTTGGTAGAAATATATCATTCCTCAGTTGTGACACTGGTAGAAAATCACCATATTGTAGTTTTTCTTACTTGATGAGATGTTTTTATCAACGTCCAGTTTAGCCTCAACAAATAACGAAAGAAAAAGAAAGTGGCTCCTCATACCAACTTCAGTCTCTCCGTAAGGCATCAAAGCCGGAAATGCTTTGGATATTTATGACAATTTTTCTTTATATTTCACTCTTTCTAACCTGTACATGTATTTTGACTAATTCCTAGTTTTCCTTCAGGTGATAGGACTTCATTTTCAGTCGCGTCTGATGAATTTTTGTTATGAACATCCGCATTTTCCTCATCCAAAACTGATTTCACTTGAGGATCTTCAGTAGCTGAAATACAGAAAACAAGTCTCTCTTATTTCACGTTACGGAAATATTTTTTGTTCATGAAGGCTGTTGAATTGAACGTTAGTTAGTATCTGTCATGGAAACTGTCCTGTCTGATGTTTTCTGCATTTCTCGAGTTTTGAAATCTTTTACATTGACAAGATGTCGAAGCTAATTGCCTTAATTTAGAGCAAAGCAAGTTTCTTTTTTTTTTTTTTGGCCACTCCAGAGAATTTGAATGATGTTTTCGTCTTTGTAGCGTTTTAAAAAGTGCAAGAAAAATCATTTAACAGGATTAAGCTTTTAGTGAGCGATCCAAAAAGTGAGTTATAAGACAGGACGCAGACTATCTCGGTGAAATCTAATATCCAATCACAATTCCGCTCAAAAGGCGAAAGATTTGCGATGAAGATAATGATACACGGACACATTTAAAGGCAATTTTTCCCTTATTTTCTTTCTCACCTGTAGAAGTATTGTCACCAGTTCCTGGTATTTCATCAGGTGATGGAACTTTACCTTCAGCCACATCTGAAAACAAAAAGAGTGAAATTAAAGTTGGATTTACGTCATTGCAGTTGTACATATTCATGACAACATATTGGAAAACAATATATTCTATATACAAGGCTAAAAGATTCTTTTTTTAGCCTTGTATATAGAATATACTTTATTAAGCGAACATTATGGACATTGGAAAACAACTTGTTTAGTTTTTTTTTCTGTTTTTTT